TGGGTCCTTTGCTATGAGCCACCCTTGTCCACCATCTCTTGAAGACAGCAGTGGATGGATGCTCCCATGTACCTGCTGTTCACCCTTTGCAAGCACCGTTACCTTTCCATGAGGCCTACATTGCATGACACCTCCCAGAGCACAGGAAGAACTTCAGACTCCACCAGGAAAGCCCTATTGATAGAAAAGCCTTGAAAGCTCATTTCAAGAAAAGCTTGTCTTGGCTGCTATATGACTCACATATACAGCGCTGGTTTCATACTCTGTATACCTCACTCCTCTCACCAATAAGCATTTGTTTGCCGACTTGCAGTTTTGAATCAAACACCTGAACTGGCTAAAACTGGCACATACCCTTTAAATAGTTTAGCAGCTGCGTGTGTGTAAGTAGCTGTATCTTTCAGAAGCATCTGAAAGCTCAACTACTGATCTCCAGTATGCAAACTGAGCAGAAACTAGGGGAAGAAGCCCTATTTCTGTGACAGCCTCTCCTACAACTTTCCACTTCCCCATCTACCCTCTAGCTCAGGGAATAACTGGAAATTTGGAGGTAGCCACCACAAGCCCGTGAAAGCTCTCAGCTGCCTCACACCAGGTAAATTCCAGTCCAAAACCAACCCCAGCTTCAGAGACAAACTGCTCCCCGCCCTACATTGACTAGTAAATGGAAACAGCTGAGGATTCAAGTCTTTACACTTGCTCACCTTCACTTGTCTATATAAAGAAACGCAGAGTGTGTTTTGAAATAGGAAAAAAAAGAGAAGAAAAGAAGGAAGTGGTTATGCCATTTAGTAAGAGTACTGGTAGGGTATGGTCTGTAAGGAAATGCTCTCATGCTTTACAGAATAATCTGGACTGAAGCAGTACTGCTGACCTGCTTGCTGGGGTTCAGGTAAAGTAATTCACATTTTAACTAATAACTGCTTTTTTCAATAACTTAATAGCAGCATTGGTTGTACAGCACTGTTTTTATCATTATTACTTATAAAGATCAAACATGTCGTGTTGCTTAGCTGAGAGCACAAAAAATTTCTGCTTTAGTGATAAGCATAAACATACTCTGTTGCTATCAAAATACTTAGAATAAAATGATTAGAAATTATCCAGCTACAGATTAAACATATGGGACTTACTGCTCTTCATTGCACTAAGCCATCTTACTCTTCTCCTGTGCATCCCCAAGAGAATAATTTCTATCTAACATGAAAACATTTCTAGAAATGTCTTTTTCTAAAGAAATGTCTTTTTCTAAAGCGAGCCTGCTTTACAGCAGTAATGTTACTTAGTCGGTACTGATTAGGAGGGTAATTACGTTAAATGCTGCAAAAGCCCTTGCTGAAGCAGTGACCTCAATTATATTAAGCATGATTGTTTTGCTGTGCTCTCTCATCTGATTATCGTTTCCTTACTATTAAAGCTACACCTACACTTAGAGTAAGTTATAGATTTTACGATGAGGGTGTTTCTGCTAATGAAGCTTTCATGGATAAGGATATCCTTAATCAGCCATCCCCAGTCTGTGCTAATATATAGACTTCTGTGAATCCCAACTAGAGCCAGATGAGCTCAGACCTGAGCTAGAAAGAGGAAACCATTCGTACACTCCACTGAGCTGCAAAAAACCTAGTGAAGCCAATACTGTAAAACCTTGTTGTTCCATTTCCTAGGTCAGTATACCTTTACTGCCAGTTTAACCACAAGCTCCTGTGGTGGGTAAACCAAATTAACATTTAACTAGTGCATAGGAAGAGAAAAATCCTCACTCGGTAGGAGAAATTGAGAGCAAATGGAGCAGTGATGACAGAGGGTCTGGGCCAGTTAAGACACTCTCCTTTGAGACTCTTAAGTTCTTTTGGCTTCTAGAAGTTGTCTGAACAATCCTAGAGCTGCAGGTGATTCCTTCAAGAAACTCACGGAGGACAGAGGAGATTTCTTCAAAAGACTGGAAAAGAGCAAGCATGGTCCCTGTTTCTTAAGAAGGTGGAAAAGGAGGAGCTGGGAAATGGTAGATCACTAAATCTGGCTTCAACATCTGTGAAAATATTGGACTCATCCACTGAAGAATCTGTTTGAAAGCACCCAGAAGACAAGACAAGACAAGGGTAAGTAACAATCTGTACAGATTCATCGGTGAATGACTGACATGGAAGTAATTTGACTTTCTTCTGTAACACACCGACAGCACTGAGGGACAGGGTGTAGGAGGGGGAAACCGGTTTCAAACACTATCTCTAAAGAAGTTCTCGTAAGCAAACAAGGGAAACATGATCTGTATGAAACTTCTATATGATTAGTGAGTACCCGCCGAGATACTGATCAGTCTCTACCATAAAGACGTCTCTTTCTGATTCAATATCATCAGTATTTTTACAATTAATTTGGACAACGCCGTTTGCAAACAATTCCCTTGGATTACTCAAGATGTGGAATTTAAATTTGAGAGGGGGTAAAATGATAAAAAATATCAAGTTTTTAAGAAACAGGCACTTGATTTGAGTACTTGAAATGACCGGTTTAAAGGCTGGTTAACATTTTCTTGAAATTAACTATTTTCATGAGTAGTGCTGTGTCTGATTTTGTACTAATGGATTCTAAAGAAAAGGCATTCAATGAAATAGAAACCCAGTAAAGGCAAAATCAAAACTCATACTTTTAAGATACATCACAAGCAATTTTCTGACATACTTACGTAGCACACAAAGAACTGGATTAACAGGTGGCGTCACTCCCTCAAAATATTTAATGGCATCTGATTTTTCCCCAGCTAAATGGATGCCCTTGGTCACAGGAGGCACACAACACTCCTATTTCCTCTTACCTGTTCTGCCCTCATGTCACAGCCGCATCTGCCTGCAATAATCCCTTGTACCTGTGGCATCGATGCATCTCCACCTTTAGTGGAATTATCTCACCTCTCATGTACCACAACCACATGGTTTTCTAAGCAGCTGCCACACATTGCTGGCTCAAAGGGACTGACTCAATCTCAGACTGACGAACAAACCAAGGTTTACTTTTTGTTCTCATTTCTGACAGATAAATCTGCTGATAACAATCAGATTTCCTTTTACTGTTTCCTAAGTTCACCAAGCTGCGACAGTCCCACTCGCGTGGCTCAGTCCAGTTCTCTGGAAGGGGCGGTCAGACCCAGCCCCTGACCAACAGCACCTCCCCGCAGGTCACATCCACCCCTATGATGGGGTCACCAGGGGAAACACTGCCAAGTAGTATTCTACTAATTTGTGCATCCCCCCCCAGTAACTTGCATCCAGTCTTGTCATAGTCCTCATCAGCTTTCTTGCAACCATTTCCTTAGCTACGTAACAGCCCCTGTTCTAACATGGTTTTTGCTGGTGCTATTTAGTTATTTCTAGTACACTTCACTGAAATGCAAGTGTCTTCAATCTTCAGCCTTTCCCTTATCTGAAAAAGCAGACACTTCATCAAAGAAGATAATGGTCTGGGAAGATCTGTCAAAGCCTTATTTAGTAGTTTTCCTTAAAACTCTGTACGAAGATTTGACCCAACAGTTTTAGAATTGCTTTAATCACAATTTAACACTCTCTCCTTCAACAGACAGACTAGACTGATCCTTTTCCAGATACACTAACAACATATATACTTCATAACAACTACTGGGTTAGACCTTCAGCTTTATATGCCTCTGCTTTCCGAGGTGGAAAGAAACTGTTTTCCCTAATACAAGCAAGTTAAGCTGCAAGTACATTCTGTGTTCAGATAGAGTTATTTCCATTATCACTCACTGATTCACGTAAATCATCCCATCTCTGACCTCCAGCACAATAACACCATCCCTATGAAAATCAGAGGTTTAATATTTGGCAAAACTAAGGGCCAGCTCCTCAGTTAATATTTAGCAGGTCTACTTGTCCTCCAGTTCTCTCTCTTTTTTAAGAAAATATTTTATTTTAGTGATGTAAACAAAAAATAGTTCACTAATTGATTTTTGGTTTCTATAGCAAAGTCTGGCTCTGTTTGATTGTGCTTATGAGTTACCCATCACTTTTTGTCATCCAAAGCAGAGATTCCCCTCTTGATCAAGTTCTTAAAACCTCTTCACTTAATCTGAAGATTTCTTTTGAGCTCCTTGGTTGGCTGAGCTGGACTGGAAACTTTAACTACTGATTTCTTCTCCTTCATTAGAAGATTTTTGTGATTTTTGATTTAAAAAGGTTATCAAAAAGTACTGTTCAGGCACAGCTTGTTAAAGCATATGTATATTTTTAAGAAAGATTATAATGCTTATTCCACACAAATGATACTTGTTTAAAGAACTCTGTTATTAAGATGTCATGCCTTCCATTTGCTCATCTTTGCCAGATTATCTAAGATAATCACTTAAAATTTGAAGTACTTGCAAACCCCGAATTTAACCAATGCTTAAAATTAAACACAAGCTAGAAAACATGCTTACTCAATTTGTACCTAGATAAGAGATCAGTCGTCTTAAGCTGACCTTCCCAAAAACTACATCAGATATAAGAACTATAAGAAATTAAAATATCCATATAAATGCAGGTGTAGTAACAACACATCAGCAAAAGAAACTGATGCATAGGGAATAATGGATATGTTATGGAAGTTTCAATAGATGTACGAGTTACTAGATATTTTAGAGTATATTTTAGGTATTCAGATATTTTAGAGCCAGTGTATTTTAGAGTTTTTGAAAATGCATGTCTGAATGGGTCAGTCTCCTCAATATTTGAGTGGGATTTATCTTGGTGGTCAGTGGATGCTGACTGCCTGCCGTTGAGAATCAGGCTCCTTTATAACAGAGCAAGCCACTCAAATTGTAAATGAAAAGCTCTGCACTTTGTGGTTCACTTTCAATAATAGCCAAAAACTGATTAAGTGCATAGCTCAAAACCAAAAAAGCCCAGACTTGTGTCTGAAAGTATCTTGATCTGATAGATGAAGGCATCGACTGGGAGCCTTACACATTTCTAACCTGTTCTCTCTGTCACTTTAGGAGAGAAATGACCAACAGAAGTGGAGAATGCAATTTTACAGACATTGACAGTTTAGCAAAGAGCCTGCGGTTGGGGATCTCCATCCCCACCTTCATTCTCGGGCTGGTTCTCAATGCCTTGGCCCTCTCCGTCTTCTGCTGCTTTTGGAAGAAACAGACCAAAACCTCAGTTTACATGATCAACCTCGCTCTTGCAGATGTCTTGCTGCTCCTCTCGCTCCCGCTGAAGCTGTACTACTCTATCACAGAAGCACCTGGTCTCCTGTGCTCGTTCATACAGTCTCTTTATTTTGTCAACATGTACGGCAGTATCTTCATCATCGTCTGCATCACCATTGACAGATATATCTGCATCAGGAACCCATTTGAAGGTCGAGCTAACCAATCCCCCAGATGGGCTATCTTGATTTGCTGCTTCATCTGGGCAGTAGCTTGGCTTTGCAGCAGCCCCCTGTACGTGTTTCAGAAGAAAGACTCTTTTAAATGCTTTCACAACATGTCAGAACAGGCGTGGAGCACCCCCCTCATTGTTTCTGTGGAAATCTTTGGATTTCTGATCCCACTCGCAGTGATGGTTTTCTGCTCTGCCCAAAACATCTGGATTCTGCTGAATCACAAAAGCCAAGCTAAAAAGAAGGTGGAAGACAGTGGCTCCTTACGAGTCATTATCATCAACCTTGTGATGTTTTTGGTGTGCTTCACACCCTTCCACCTCGCAATCTGCCTACAGTGCCTGGTAAGACAGCACGTGATAGTGGACTGCAGTCTGCAACAAACCATCAGCCTCTTCATTCAGGTGTCGATGATATTAGCCAACCTGAACTGCTGCCTGGATGCCATCTTTTATTACTTTGCTGCAAGAGAGTTTCGTAAGAAAACGCACCTGAAAAAGGTTATTGAACTATGCCCTGTCTTTAAGCCTTGTGCCACATGATGGGACTGCCTGTGGTGGAAGAACAGCTCCTCCTCAGCTCCCACTTGCCTCACAGGACACTGACAGCATTACCCAGCAGTAGGGTCACCTTGGCCATAGCAGGGAGGGTGCAGGAGGGAGAAGGACAATGTTTTCCTGGTGAATGTGAACATGTTCTGTATTTTTGTTCCCTTTAAACATGAAAGAGGAAAAAAAACTTGGAAAATAAAAAAACAGCATTAGCAAAGTGACAGAGTGACACCAAAAAGAGCATTAGCCTTCACATTATCTACTCAATGTGAGAGACTTGCCAAAGGAAAACCACCCAGATCACTCCTTTGTCATTGCTGCATCAGTTTTCCTTTTGCCAATGTGATCAGAAAGTTGTTGCTAAGGGTCAAACATAGAAATAACTATCCAAAACCTTCTTTCTAACTTAAAAGGTATCTGAGAGTTAAAAGGCAGTATCTGCCCAAAAGTCTGACTGCTTTTTCCTTCTTGGTCACTGTTGGAGCTCACTTGCTTTGAACAACTTGGCCAGCCTGGCATAATAGTGAGTCCTCTCTTTTGTAAGTGTTATACACTGGTCAGGGCTGCTACACAGGACAGCAGCTCCAGCCTTTTCATGGAGAACAGGCTGCCCACCGTACAGCCCCAATGGAGTATTTTGGCTGCCAGCAATTCCTTGAGCAACAAACATTCCTGATTATCTCTGCTGAGGAATCAGTATGGCTTTCTCCTGCAATTTTACAACTGGTTTTGCACGTGAAAACCAAAAGCACCCCTTCAAATACAGCATTTAGCAAAAGACTGTATGTGATGAACTGTATTTCTATCAAAGATATAACATGACAATATGAAATTCTTCTGCCTGTCATCTCATTCTTTCTTGGAGGAAGGGAATTACGGGAGCAAGCCCCACATCAAAGAAAAATAGGGAGCACTTGTCTGACAGGAGACTGAGGGGTGCCCTCATTCATGGGGATCCATTGGGAAAGGGCAGTGTCAAGAGGAAGGAGCCAGGCTCTGCTCTGGGATGTCCAATGCCAGGACAAGGGGCAATGGTCCCAAGCTGGAGCACAGGAGGTTCAAGCTGAAGGTGAGTCCAAACTTTGTGAGTGTGAGGGTGGCAGAGCATGGCCCAGGCTGCCCAGAGAGGTTGTGGAGTCTCCTTGTGTGGAGACACCCAAAGCCCTGGCCGTGTTCCTGTGTGACTGCTCTGGTGATCCTGCTCTGGCAGGGGTTGCACTGGGGGAGCTCTCCAGGTCCTTTCTAACTCCTGACATTCTGGGATTCTGTAATATACACCTCGGTCTCAGCTGGAAGACTGGACCAACTCTGTCCACCTCATTCCTTAGAGAAGTCCTTCTACCCTGTACTGTACACTTCACAAAACATCTCTGGTCATGCCTGAACCCTTCTTGGCCACCACTTCTGGTACGTCACCACTCCTGTGCCATCTGGAAGTTTGGCTCTGAGCCTACAAGTTTCCTTATTGCAACTTAAGCCTACCTTTTCTTGTGCCATTACATTGGCATGGTTCGTGCTCCTAGCAAGAAACACTTTCACATCAAGAAATGAATTTCTGTGCCTTTTAAAAGAACACCTGTAAAAATGGTCTAAGATTTCCTGTAATCAAGTCTTTATTCTGGGAGGGACAGATGATCCCTTTATTCAAAATGTGAAAAGAAATTACCTTCTGTCTAGAGCAAATTAAAAAGAAAGGGGAGCAGTTTTGGAAATACCATTCGCCATCAAATGACTTCCATTGAAATGATTGATTGTGCAAGTGGGCAGCTGCACTTATCTGATGTCGGGCCTAATGTACGAGCGTTTGAAAACTTGTTAGGACTAAAACAACGACCACAGCTGAGGCACGCAAAGAGCTCGGAGGCAAAGGAAGCTTTTTGTCATCATCTTTGCATTATCTGCAGAGAGCCAAGAAGAAGAGCCTTCCAAAACAGTAGGTTTTCAAAACATTATTTGCTACTGCCTCAATCATTCAGAAACTTGCAGCCTTTTCAATATAAGTTAACCTTTCTTTTTTGCAACTTTCACATTACTTTGCATATCAAATACAAGTGTGAGAAAGAACACATTCTACTAAATAAATTATCTATGTGAATGACATTATTTGAAAATACATTTTAATTCCCCAATCTGACAGCAGTGTATGATTCTTATCATATCTTTATCACAAATTTTTACCATTTTCTCCTTAAAACAGCTCCAAGACTTAGCTGGAGATTTTCCTTCCCAGGAATTACTTCAGGTTTGTAACTACAGCAACCAAGAACATCTGGATAAACAGTAATAACCAGAAAAAGTAACATCAAGGAATACGATCACACCCAGAAGTCCAGATAACTTAATATTATTAAATTATTAATTACGAGGGGTTTGAGTGCTCCCTCAGCAAGTTTGCAGATGACACTGAGTTGGGAGGCAGTGTTGATCTGCGTGAGGGTAGGAAGGCTCTGCTTCTGGGGGAGCTTTCCAGGTCCCTTCCAACTCCTGATATTCTGTGATTCTGTAATAAATTTTCTGCTAAGTTTCTCTTCCTAAATCCTTGACAACCTCCTGCTAAATCCCCTACAACTTGCCCTCCAAAATCTTCTGAGCTTTTGTTTTTATGATTAGCCAGCTATCTGAAAATTTACAATACCATTGGTGATATTTGAAACCCGGAGCACAGAATCTGAAAGGTAACTTGAACTACTTTCTTCCCATTTAGTGCCACTTCTTTGCTGGCCAAAAGTGATTTTACATAGAACTCATTTGTCTAAATTTTGCCTGTTGTATATGTAAATGACAGCTGCCTGTCTAAGCATATTTGAAATTTCTGAAAAACAGAGAAAGAAGGAAGGGAGCCCAGCTGTGCTGGTTTTACAGAGCTATTGCAACAGTCAAATCTTTTAGCACAAATCTTTTGAGCAAGAAGCTGGCACTTTCAATTCACTGCTTTTTCAAGATGATCTTACATTTAAATAATACACTTAAACTCTGTCTTTGACCTGCAGCTAAGATTACGGTTCTTTCAAAAGCAGAATTTTACATCCAGGCTCCTCTATGGAATTTACTGTTAACTCTGGAGAATCTCCACTTGGTTGTATTTTTATGACAGGATAAATGCAATGAAAAACCCTTGCGCAGCCTGACAAGGTGCACAGCGATTTTGTTGTTGAATAAAACTGAAAAGCATTTGACATTTTAAAAACAACAAAAGCCTTCCTGAGTCAATACACGAGTTCACCATTTCTGTTTGCAGACTGCGCAACAGAAGAGGTTTTTTTTCTCTCTTGGTGTTATTTTTAATACATTAAAAAATGGTAAAAGGCTGAACATGAACCCCTCACATACCCAGGGATTCAGTTGTACTGTAAAGACAAAGAAGCATTGTCCTAGTGAAGGAAAATAAAACAAAATCGAAAACAAACAAGTGCTAATCAAAATCACCCAGAATAATGCCTTTAAATTACATTTTCAGTTCTGCTCTATTCTGTGAACTGAACAAAACCGAATGCAATTGACCACAGTCCTTAAAAAGCAGGTGTATTTAACCTTATCTTTCCTGAACAAGGCTGTTTCAGGACACCCTGGTGAGAATATTCACAAAAAAGCAATTTTGTTTTTATCCAGTCCAGCTTCTCCAGCTGGGCCAAACCCCACAGGTCTTCACGGCACAAGAGAGGTCTGGCTGCTCTCAAAGGCCGTTCTTATCAATGGCAGATCCCTCACCAACACCCTACAATTAGCATTTGTTCAGTAGCGAATGTGATCACCAAGCTGTATTTTATGGATTCACGCAGCAATTGAAAGAATGTAAAGCATAGAAGTAGTTTGGACAAAAGGAAAGAGGCAACCCAATAAGAACAACCAACCAACCAACCCCCAAACCACACACAGTTTGGTGCCCAACCTCTTTTTCCGTCCCTTTGCCTGGTGGGTTATATCGTCTTTCATTTCCCAAGCCTGCTTGAGCACTGAACTTCAAATCAGTGCCCCTCCACTAATTTCTAGTGCTACAAAAGCACTGTCAGGATAACGGCAGCCTTTTTGAAAACTAATATTGTCCCAGAAGTACCTTTGAAATAACATATCTAGATGTTTTTTAACAAAAAAACAAATTCTGTAAATTCAACCGGTTTAATAGCAAGTAAAGGATCTGATACAGAACTTCTTTTTATAGTTTTCATCAAATTGCTTTTATGATACTACCTGATTTATGAGCTGGAAGACACCTGAGAGAGGATCCAAGTCTAGATCATCTCCTACCTTCTAGCAAGGAGCCGTCGTGAGCATAGGTGGACACACGCTTCGTAAAGGCCAAGCAGCATAATTTCACTATGATGAAATACGTTAGTTAAAAAACGTAAACCAGACAGTTTTTTCATGTGAGAATGAACAGCCACCATATCTTCCGAAGTCTGGCTCACAAAGAAAGCCTAATAGACGTCACTGTACCAGTTTATTGTATCAAGTAATTTCAAGTGCTCAGAAATCTGCTAAGTGAGAAGAGCAGCCAGCTCACTGCCTAAGGCAGCTTCCAGATCACAAAATGAAGCTGAAACAGGTTTAAAGACTGAAACTGATCTTCAGAGAGATATCGTCCTAAACCTCACATCTCTGTGTGCTGCTCTAAGCAATACTTAGGTTATTCTCCAACACCACAACTTAACCTGTCCAGAAAGCACACAGATGAACAAAAGATAAACCGATGCTACTCAAAATACCCACTTCTGCCTTTCTCATCAAAATGGTTTTGCAGGTTTTTTTTTTTCCTCTCACATTCAGAACATTTTGCACTTTAGACCAATTCCTTCCTACGAGTCTTGGGTGCGCTCTCCATCCTTGCACCTAAACACAAGGAGAGGAGCTGTGAAGGGGCAGAGACCTTTGAGGCACTGGCGAGTCTAACAGGAGAAAACAGAGAGCGGAGAGCCCACCACCTCATGTACAAACCTCCCAAAATTACTTTGGCAGCTGCCATGAGAGCCTGCAGGGACCAGCTTGGCACTAGA